TTGAGATCGGAAAGACTATAACATCGTTCGCATTTGCCATGAAGTTAATTGTAAAAGTAGCAAACAGCTTCAATATAAACTTCGTTCCAACAAAAACTTAATTATTTGAAAGAATTTTTTTCACGAGTTCTGTCTAAACTTTTAGAAAATCTGCGATTTTTTTTCTTCCACGTCTTCATTTCTGTATCAAAAAAGTTAGTGTTTGTTTCATTTAATGTCTTCAAATTGACCTTGAAACTTAAGGTTAAGCCGAAATATAACATCACCAGAATATTGATTTCTTGATATCCCACAACTTTTATCTGTAACTTTTTTAACCTGGGGTGGTGTTGAATGAAGTTGCAGTATATTTTCAGTGGTAGCGAGTAGAATATGGAAGAGGGAACATTGTTTTATTGGGCCGTTAAGAAAAAAAAAACTGACGTTTTTTATTTTTCCACGCAGTCTACAAATACCTTATGGATACAGTCGCCAAATCCTGCTCAACTCCCTCTACTTAACATTAAACTAGGCCAATTAGAATGCGCATAGTAAATTTTAATCTGGCGGAGACCAGAATACGACGGTGACGGTGCGATACGTCTACACTGTCTTCAAGGGCAATACATTTTAATTTATTTTCACGCTTGGGATCGTTGTAAAAGGGCTTTCTAAGAATCCTACTGATACAGGACAAAAAATATAAGTATAACGCATAGTCGAAAAGAATTTATTTCGTCTGACATCCATGTGGTTTGTCGTCATTTTTTAACCACTGACTATACAAATGCTAGAATTATTGGTAGACCTTTTAAAGACATAGCCAAATTTAGAAAAAAAGTTACAATTTTAGATTATTTTTCACACCTATGCTCGCGATCGTTTCCGACATTTAGAACATTTTTCCTGTGGGTAGTGCAGACACATTTTGGTAAAATTCCACAACCAATTAGTTTATGACATGACCCATGGAAAGTAACAATTTTCGTGCGTAAGTTCTCTAAGCCGGGCGACTCGATGAACTACTGTTTTCTTAATAAAACCTTTGTTGTCGAAAAATGTTTTTTTGTTTAGAGCTCTAAATAAAAAATAATTCGTCCATTGCATTAGTTGATGCAAACATTTGTAAATTTTTAGTCCAATTAAGCATTAAATCAATTTTATTATACTTTTATTTATTTTCTACCGAAGATTATTGAAATTTTGATCTATTGAATCGACGGTTTTCTCCGCGAGGATGCGTGTACGTGTACGACCTGCCGCGCGCCTGCATATCAAGTGCATTGAAAAATCGAGAGCACCCCAATTAAAATCAACTGGATTATGAGAATAGAGCAATAACCCTTTCGCTCGTTCCTTAATGCTCCAGTGCGCGGGATAAATCGCTTTTAGTAAAACAATATTTATTACAGGTAGTGCTTAATTCAAAGGTCCAAGATAGGATCTCGGCCTGGGGGATTTCCCGCCGATCGTCAAATAACTTTTGACGTGGATGGTGTGCTGCGGTTTTCTTTGTATTGGGCCTCTGGGCGATGAGTTTTTTTCGCTTTCGGCTACTTCGAATTTTTCAACGGGGTGCGCATTTCAAGACAAATGGGGCTATGGGAAAGATGGATGTTTTTTTCTATCGTTAAACATATATTAACTACTTAAAGACTTTGATTGATATTACGTACACACCACAAACAATATGAGAGAATTAATATTGAAAACTATATTGGGAATCACACATAATTGATATAGTAGTACTATCTGACCAAAGCAATAAAAAAAATACTCAGAAAAGAAGGAAAACTATAAAGAACTGGCAATAGAAAAAAATTGTACTAGATTTAATTTTCTATTTAATCTTTCTAATATTAAAATGTAAATTTATGAGTTTATTTTCATAAGCCTAGTTGAGTTACATTTTTTCTTATATACATATAAGGTCCCAAGCTACTTTCACCTAAATTAATTCCATACATTTTTTTATTATCCCCACATAGAAATTCATTTCACTATCTCTTGGGATAAAAGAAAGCTGTAAAAAATTAATTTTTTGTGCCTAACTTTTGTGAATACATAATGACATATATATCCATCTAATTACGTTAATAATTATATATTTTTTTCCATATACTTTGACAGATGGCAGCTGGATTAATTTCAAAAATTTTTTCTTATACGAACATAGGTCCAATTCGTTTTTGTTTGGAAGTCATCATATTAAAAAATATAATTTCATATTTCAGTCAAAGTAGCCGGATAAATAAAAATGGTGGTCGCTATAACAATAATTATTACTTGTCTTTAAAGTTTAAACAAACAAACCTTTATTAACCAAATTAACGAATCTTAAGACTGTAAACAATTTGGATCATATCTTATCTGCTACCAGCTACCACAAAGTTTGGCATAGAGCTTATAGAACACCCTGTATATGTTGTTTAAGTCTTAAAAATTTTTGTTCCATTTTTTCATACAATTTCAGGTTGCTGTGTTTTTTTTTTTAAATGAAACTATTGTATGATATAACTAAAAACAGATTTCGCGTTTTATTTATTAAAGGTATTAAGCTTATTTCACCATGTAGATGAAAAGTTATATATGCTTGATATAACAGGATAAATTATTAATTTATCCTGTTTATAATACAATTTATAATTTCCCGCATAGTTTTAACTCTTAAAAACCACAAAACTGGCTTTTAAATTATTTTAAATGAATTATTATTTTTTCGTAATAACTCATTTTAGCGATTTACTTTAATTTATGCAATATTCAAAATTATTATTTCTCAATATTTTTTCATGCAGAAAGTCATAATTTCAAATTTTCAAATATATTTATATTATTTTTTTATGTTTAGCTATGAATGCTCCAAAGTTGTAGATAACCAAAATATTTATATGTTCTAAAAATTGAAGCGGTAAGGTACCTTTGGTTTTTTAATGATAACCTTAATTTTAAAGCTATTAAGACGATCCAAAAACGATTTTAAGGAAAATTTCGACGGCTAAAAGTACTGTAAAATTGAATATTTTTTAACGCGTTATTTTTGAGATTTTTGAGGTTAAAGGGTTTGAAAGACAGGACCTTCGTCCTCAACTGCTAACTTCTAGTGGCCACATTTCTGTTAATTTTTATACCACACAAAATCACAAATTAAAAAAAAAACTAAATATTCTGTGAAAAAAAATCTAAAAATTTGTACTCTTGAATATTTTTCGTATCTTTTTTATTTTTAGTTATTTTTTTAAAACACAATATTTTCAAAAATATGCATTCTAAACCGCTTAAACTTGATAATATATTGTTAGCACATAAAAAATATAAATTGTAGGACAATAATAATAATAATAATAATAATAATAATAATAATAAATCTACTTTACTTAAATAATATCTAATTTTGAAATTGCGAATATCGCAATAAAATTCCCGCGCCGCTATAGGTTAAATATTTTTTCTCGAACGTGTGGAATGGGTATAAACTTAGGAAATATTCCATGTACTTCTGATGTCTTTAAACTACACGTATTAAGAGCATAATTGCAAACGTATATTTGGAAAAATTCAATATAC